ACGTCTAGTGACATGACAGTCACATTATGACCAGTCAACTTTGTTTCATAAAGCCTATCAGTTCAGGGGAAGAGGTAAACTCATTAATACTCGCCAATACATTGGAGACCAACATTGGTAAAATCAATAAGTGCTCTGAGGCCTTCAGCCAACATTTCGAAAACAAATAGATCCAGGCATCACTTGCGTCAGTGTCTGATAAACTGGGGTAGTTGAGACCTGAAAAGCTATTGTGTTACAATAACATACACATAGTCAACGTGTGATACCGTAATGAAACCTGTCACCTGTAATTTATTTTTAGACAAGCGGTATTTTCAATTACTACCAAAGATAGTGAAAATTTTCATCTCAGCAATGACCTAATCTACTAAAAGCCAGCAATATATAACTGAGTGATCGAGACATGGGGGTATATCATGGAAACCATCCTATCCATAGCAGGTGTAGTAATAAATACATTCCCAGAATGTATAACTATGTAAGTCTTCGACATTTGATGCTGAACGCACTAGTTTTAATGTAGTAGCGCTCGGTCACGCATGCACACCAGATCACGAATTGGTAAACTGTGCTTCACTTATCCCACGAACCCTAGCCAGCTTATAATGAACACTCCTCGATATATCGCCAGCCTATCAAATATATCTTTGAGCCTCTTTGCTTCTGACATTTGGTACGTCTCGATTATAAAAGTATACATAGTTACGGTGTTCTCAAACTCTGAATACTCGTGCCGTTTTTACATGTAACATGACTTCGAAATGGTCTTTTAGCGGTAAACAAATCTTCAAAATAAATAGCTCTGTAAGTTTTCGACATACACGTTTCATACCGAATTGCGCGTCACCAATGAAACCTCTTACCGACCAACTTCGTGGAAATGCGAAATCCATCATGCTGGACGACACCGCGCGAAAAGCATTCTCCACAGCTAAGGAACTTATCGCTCAAGCAGTAAGGCTTGATCATCAGGACAATGAAGCAACCATTAGTATCGCAGTAGACGCATCCGACTTAGCAATCGGAGGAGTCTCACAATAATAGGCTAACTAATTCTAGAAGCCTTTGACATTTTTCTCTAGACGGTTGCTAGACACTGAATCGAGGTACAGCACATTCGGTTAAGAACTCCTAGCTATGTATTGTGCTGTACGGCATTTCCAACACTATATCAAGGGCCGTGAATTTACCCTTTTCACTGACCATAAACCGCTTACCTTCTCTTTAAGCTCTTCTTCAGACAAGTACAAAATTAAAAAACGATATTTGGGTCGACTATTTGTAAATTGCGAATGGACTTTGGTACCTAAATTAGCGATTGGTTCTATTTTTAATTTGGGTCCGTAAATTGCAAATAGACCGACGTATCGTACTTCAATAACGGAAACGAGCAAAAACTTGGATGTAACAAGAACTTCCAGGCATTTATTACGCTGTACGGCACTTTAGACACTGTTGAAGACCGAGAATTCACTCTTTTCACCGATCACAAACCTCTTACCTATTCTTCAAGCTCAACGTCAGAGAAGTACTCACCTCGTGAGTCTCGACAACTGGACTACAGCTCCCAGTTTACTTCAGACATTCAACACATTTCTGGAGCAAAAAATGTAGTCGCAGACGCCTTGTCTCGAATACCTTCTTTGATCAGTTTCCAAAGAATCAGCCTTCTTAAACTCGACGAGCTTCAGCACGAGTTGTCGTCTAAACCGTCAAACTACGCATCAAACAAATGAGAACAGGTAAGGAAACCTTACTTTGTGACACATATACGGGTATAGATCGCTCAATCGTGCCGAAACATTATCGACGCAATGTCTTCAATACGTTGAACAAACTTTCTCATCTAGGTGTTCGTGCAACCATCAAGCTTATAGCAGAACGATTTTGCTGGCCTGGCATGAAAAAAGAAGTGAGGGAGTGGGCACGCTCCTGTGTAAGCTGCCAGAAAGCTAAGATTATCAGACACAACAAATGTCCCTCAAGCTCTTTCAAAGCTTCGGAAGCTCGTTTCGACCATGTTCATCTGGATTTGGTAGGACCTTAACCAGATTCAAATGGATACGTTTATCTCTTAACTTGCGTAGACCGTTTAACTCGATGGCCAGAAGCAGTACCTATCAAGGACATCACTGCTGAAACAGTGGCTCGCGCCTTCGACGAACGATGGGTAGCATGCTTCGGCTGCCTTTGAACCATCGCTACAGATGGCGGACGTCATCTCGAACCTGAACTTATCCGTTGTCCGATCACACTTTTAGGATTCACTCGCTTCCGAACGACTGCCTACCACCTACAAGAAAACGGGTTGGTAGAACGTTTTCACGGAAAACTAAAAGCTTCGCTATCAGCTGCAAACACTTTTCAGTGGACCGAAGCTCTCTTAATAGATATTCGCAATGCACTGAAAGCTGACATTGCATACACTGCAGCTCAACACGTTTATGGAACGACACTTCGACTTCCGGGAGAATTCGTGGATCCTTCATCCTCGTCAATGAACATGGATCTAACCTCATACAACAACAGGCTTACAAACGCAATGCGTTCAGTTAAACCTGCTTCCACTCGACCACAGTCAAATGACGTTTTCATTCAATCGAACGACAAGACTCCGACACTTATAATACCTCATCCGACAACCAAGACGCACGATGATAGTTCGACAGTATCTGAAAATAAACTTAGAAGAACGCATTCTGGAAGAAGAATAAGATTTCCAGGACATTTAAACGACTATTGGACGTAAGACACCAGTTAACATTTTGCTTCATCTCGATTTTCTCTGGCATTATATATAACATAAAAAATTTTTATATGCTTATATTTATGTATATTTATTATTTGGCTAATATGTATATTAAAAATCTTTTTTTTAAACAAACAAAAAGAAACATTTTGTAAAAATCGCTTTTATGTTATTTCCCTTTTTTCGCCATCTTTGTGTCTTAAAGCGCGTGCGAGTTTATTTCGACATGCTTTTTTTCTTTTCCATGACGGCTGGGAAAGACGGTAAAAAGAACGATGAGGTTTACGAGGAACCAAAGTTTCCATTGTACATTTTTTTTACTACATTGCAATTCTTGACTCCTTATAGTAAGGAAAGACGACCAAACGCCGATAAACCCCGCAAGCTATCAGAAAAGTGTTTACCAAGGACAAACTCGTTGGATTTAAACTTCTGGCTGGCCACGTTTTAGGGTCATCACTACCCCACTAGGAGGGGAGTGATCAGTAGCGGTAAATAAATCCCCGAAATAGATAGCTCTGTAAGTTTTCGACATTCGATGCTGACCACATTACTTTTAATGGACTCACCTAGTTGAAGGCGCTCGGTCGTGCATCCGCACCAGATCATGATTTGGAACGCCGTGCTCAACATCCCCTGCAATCGCTAGCCAGATTATATCAGTCGATTAACGATATATTGATAGTCTATCAAATATATCTTCGAACCTCCTCGCTTCTGTCTTTTGATTTCACTTCGTGAGTACGATTCATATCAGATGTTACTGGTTAAAGCGTTGTCAAACTCCGAATACTTGTGGCACATTCAGTCTATTAGTGTAGGTCAGATAGAAACCTTAATGAGATTTGTGAGAGCCTGTGTGCCTACTATTTCATGATGTCGTTGAGACATTTGAATGCTCCCTATGTAAGATCTGTTTTGAATGTTTGGTGTGTGTGAAAATCCCTCCATGTATACACTTGCACTTTGTTCCTATTGATCCTCTTAGTTGTACATTTTTAGTTTTTTGATTGCATTTGAATTGTTAATATTTGCATTTTTTTATTATAGTTTTTATTTTTCCTACGCCTTCACTAAGTTTTTGTGTTTCTTCCCGAACTGCATCTATGTTGTTTTACTTGATACTTGTTCTTGGCGGCAGCCATATTGATTTGCTCCTCCTTTTGTGCGTGTTCTATCCAGTCAGGATAGAATAGCGTTCATTTGTTGTGTGAGATATTGAATATCACAGTCAGTGGGGTCGCGATATATTGTTCAATACATCTCAAGATTTCGGGGTGTAGTTCATTTGCTCCTGTCGAATTTTCCATGTTTAAGGTGCTAAGAGCCCTAAGTACATCGTCTTGATCGAAGTCCATGATAGGCATGTGATTTTTCGACTCTTTATTTCGGTCTTGTTCTTTGTTTAGAGGAGGTTCCTGAGTAAAAACTGCCCCAAAATAGTCAGCCATAGCCTCTGCTTTTTCTTGATCTTCCTCTATCATTTCAGAATCACACCCTTCTTTTTTATAAGTTGGGAATCTAATGATGCATCCTTGTTCTGTAGTTTGTGCACGAGAATATTCTCTTGGGCTGCTTGAGTGCAGATTGCATCAACTGCATTTCATATTTTCTTTGAGCTTTTCAAATTTTAGTTATGCACTTGTTTCTTACCGATCTGTGGAGTTATATCGTACCTGCTGTGCCAAGGCGGATGTCAATATCCCAACATATCTTCTTTTGTCTTAGTAAACGTCGAATATTCAGGCCTATCTAGGGATGGCCGTGCTTCTACTTCGGAACTGCTCAGGATATGTACGGTTGAGTTGCACAATTGTATAACCGCCCGAAAAGAAACCATGCCTTTTGTACTCAAGCCCTTGAGTCAATTTCTCAGTTTTTAGCCGATTCTGCGGAGTTGATTGCTTCCATATCTGCCTTCCACATATTAGGACAGGTCGGCGCAACTGTTTGACAGGCAATCTCAGCCACGAATTTGAATGATACGACTGCATGTTCACTTCTCCCTAGTGGTGGGAAGATGGTCATCTGACCAACGTCATTACCGTGTGTGAAGACTAAATCTAAAAGAGAAGAGTTTCTTAAGTCGTATCTTGTGGGATTACTAATGTGCTAGAATAAAGCTAATTCACTAAAGTTTTCTAACTGTTTGCAATCGGATAACGTTATCGATGGCCCTACTTAAAATTTGGCCAGGTTAAAGCGGCAAAATACACTTGACCACGATTTTGTTTAAATGACTGGATATGTAGATTGAAAGACAAACCCGCCAGTTGCCAAAAATCGTCAAATGTCGGGATTTGACCAGGGTTCTGTCTATTTCTCAGACTCCCTTTTTCAACAAACAAGAGATCAGGACAACTCGGCAAACGTCCAGTTTGCAAAGCGAAAGTTCAAGGAGTTTATTCGTCAGTTCAACGATGGTGGTTTCGATTTTAAATATAGGTATGTGTTATCATAATTATTTATGCTTTCAGGGACCAAATTAAAAAAAACTATGGATTGAAAAAATACTTTATCGTTGTCAAACTAAGGGATCTTAACAATTATGATTCTTCGCTGACCCAGGAACTTATTCACCGCCCAAGTGATTACTTACCACCGGTATGAATACATGGCGACTAACATTTTTTTCCAGTTTGAAGAAGCTGTGACGGAAGTGGCATCCGAGCTTGTTCGTTCAAGTGACGAAGAAAGTCATACGGAGTCTGCACAGGTGTTATTCGAGTGGGACAGTAATGCTGTCAGCCTCAGAGACGTACATTCAGAAGAAGTTTCCAGGTTAGTTAAGATATCAGGTATCGCCATTAGTTCATCAAGTATACGTGCAAAGGTAATGAACCGTTCAACTCACTTTTAATTGGCAGGCTGTTCGTCTAAGTCTACAATGTCGAGGTTGTCGCCAATTCCTTCCAAATCTCCCTGTGAAGCCAGGGTTAGAAGGCTTTACACTACCTCGCAAGTGTCCAAGTGCTCAAGTTGGTGGAGGACAGGCTACCAGATGTCCGATCGACCCTTTCTTCATAGTCCCTGACAAATGTGAGTGTGTCGACTTTCAGACAATTAAACTTCAAGAAACACCGGAAACTGTCCCACATGGAGAAATGCCTCGTCACGTTTTGCTCTATTGTGATAGGTAATTTTCACGTATTTCCTTTCGTGTATATATAGGCAGTTGTTGTACTAATAGGTACTTACTGACTTCTAGTTTCGTGTGATTGTTCTTATAGAGTTGTTCTCTCTTATAAGCTGCTCGGTGTATTTCCATTAAATTGTGGCCCTCATTAAGTCTATGAATTCAAATACGTCTTGTGGCGATGGTATAAATATATTTAGTAGTCAATCCACTTAGCGTTATTATTTACGTTTATATAGGCTAGTCGTCAAGATACATCAATGTGATTGATGCCTGCAGGCTTAACAGTCGAAAACTTATGTTGTCCAGAAAAACAACGAAGGCTCCACGACTATATCGTCCAACTTGTTGGGTGAGAGTATGTCAAGATCATCCATCTGAGTCATAAATCACTAACTCGTAATATGTATTGTTGTATGACGTTGTTTTGATATACAATTCCATAATTTTTATACTTTCAACCCACATTTACGCATACTTCTCTCAACAGATATCTCTGTGAGCGAGTCGTCCCTGGTAATCGTATAACTGTTGTTGGTGTGTACTGTATTCGTGTGACCGTCTCCAATAAGGTAGGTTTCTTAAATAGTTTTTCTGGTTTAAGTCATGGTGTATTTTTTCACCATGCGAAATATAAGGCGAGTCTCAATGTTCTTAAGTTAGTTCTATGTATTGCTGTTATCAGAGTATCTGACAAGAGTATGAATTTATTTCATAAAAGTCCCTAAGGATTTCTCCTAAGCTTATCGTCTTTGGATTTCCTGCTATTTGATAGAAATCCCTGGGACTGCTGAGTTTTCTGATTACCGTCGAAACCATTATATTCTCATACTTCATGTTAATATCATGGAATAGAAATGCATATACATATTCCATAAGGAAACATAAACAATGAATTAACATGATGTCATACAAAGATCATAATACTGGGTCATATAATGTTAGTAATAACAATAAAAGGCCGTATGACTTCTACAGGATGCCTGCGAATAAGAAGGCATATAAAATAAATAAGCCAACATTGCATTGCTGTGCGAATGAAGTAAGATAATTATAACATTTTTGTTACCATAATCAAATGTATTAAAGGAATGGAATGAGTAAAATTATGGAGGTTTGTGAAGTAATCAAAGAATCTATTGCACTGATAGACTTTCGTAAACTTAGCCCATCAGGCTCCGAACTTGATGAACAGCGAAAACGAATCAGGTGTAGGCTAACTGAAATTCTACGAAACAATCGTGAATAGTGGTGAGCAACGAAAGCGAAAGAGGTGGAAAAGGTAGTGGTTGTAGGTAACACAGACAGCTTTACAGACTGATAAAAGAAACTGTAACAAGAAGTCAAGTGTGAGACAATTTCGGAAAAAGACGGAACTCTTATTTTCTCCCAATCTAAACGTTTGGAACGATGAGCTGAACACTTTAAGGAACAGTCCAACTGACCTTCAGCTACTCTACAACTACCCAACATTCCCAAATAGCCTGAATGTAATATTGAAATAGGCCCCTTCCTTGACTCTAATTGAAGTTCTAATTGAAGCCATAGTTAATCTGGAACGAGAAAGAGCAGCTGGTCCAGATGGATTGACTCCAGAGGTCTTTAAGGATGGTGGTCCAGTTTTTTAGCTGAGATTTGTGAACTGAATGTCATCCCATGTGACTGGTCTCGCTCACTGATCGTCCCAATATATAAGAAATGATCAAAATCATCCTGTGATAACCATATAAAGATTACTTTGACTAACATAGCATCTAAAATACTAGTCTCAATAATTATCGAGCGCCTAATTAAGACTTGTGAACTGCAAATATGAGGAAACCAGACTGGCTTCAGACCTGGTCGTGACTGTATTGGCCACATATTCGCCATTCGTTAGGTCTTAGAACAGTGGCATGCGTCCGACAATAGTGCTCTTTCTTGACATAAAAGCAGCATTTGACTCTGTAGACTGAGAGGTTCTGTGGTAGTGTTTGTCATTGAGAGGCGTACCTCAGAAGTACATAAACCCTTTGAGGGCTCTTTACTTGAGTAACACCAATCGAGTCAGGACTTATGGTGAATTGTCATCTGCTTTCGCAACCTCAATTGGTGACCATCAAGGCTGTTTACTATCTTCATTTTCGTTTAATTTCATCATATAACTAATGGTGGGAATAACGTTCTCATTGTCGGGATTTTGGGTAATTGATCTACCAAGAGGTCAACTTATCGACTTAGAATACGCAGATGACATAGTCCTGTTTGGTGAAGATGCCGATAAAATGCAGAGTTTTTTGATAGCACTGAGAAACAATGCCAGGATGTTTGGGATACGCTTCTCTCTATCCAAATACAAGTTGTTGCCTAAAGACTGGCCTGTGTCAACACCTGAACTGATGATAGGGAGTGAAGTAGCCGAACCCATTGACAACTTCACTTATCTTGGAAGTCTGATCAGCTCTAATGGGTTGGTGTCTGATGAAATCTCACCACGGATTCGAAAAGCTCGTTTGGCTTTTACCAACTTACGTCACCTATGACGAATGCGAGATATCCGTCTATCAATTAAAGGACGAGTATTCTGCGTAGCAGTTCGTTCTGTTTTACTTTACGACTGCGAGATGTGGCCATTAAGAGTAGGGGATGCTCGTAAGTTACTAGTATTCGATCACAGATGTCTTAGAAATATTGCTGGTGTCTGCTGGGATCGCCGGGTATGTAATGGTGAGGTTAGACGCAAGGTATTATGGAATGATGGTAAATCAGTTGATGAGGTTGTGAATCTTTATCGGCTGTGATGGATGGGCCACGTATTATGCATGCTCAACCACTGACTACCACGCGCGCTGAGATGTTTGGGTCCACGTGTTACGTATGCCTGAACATCGATTACCACGATGTGCAATGCTGACTAGTGTTGGAGACGAATGAAAGTTAGGGGCGGCTAAACCAAAACATAGTATCAGTCAATAAAGTCACTCACTTCCGGTCTGAGCCATTTTGGTAGATGCAGACTACTTTTTTAGGGTTCACGCGGCCATCGTAACTAGTGGTTGGAGACTCTGGATAGCATGGCTCGGAATCGATCACATTGGATTAGGTGTGTACACTCTTCATCTTTAAACCGTGCGATTAAAATTACTTTATACCTTTCTTTCTACGAACTAATTTTTTCTCCCTGTATCATATCCTTATATGAAATGTTCCTTTTACTACCGTTTAAGTAAATACTACTATGAATTTGGTATTCATCTTGTGCTAATGAGGTGTGGCAACTTGGACCGATGCTTATATTTGCCTGGCCTAATGCTGTAAATGATTGACTGACTACATTGATCGGTTCATAGTTTCAGTGAAACTCAAGAATATGCAGATCCTTATAATTTTTTATTTATTCGTAAATGCTTTTGATTAACTTGGGAACGTCTGTTCTATCAGTTTTTAGACAAAATATACTCATTTCATTTAATCATATCCGCACTTTGTTACGTAAATGGTTAATACTGTGTTCCCATTCAAATAAAAATAGAAAATAAGCTGTTCTTTGTTGGAAGGTAGTTCATAATTACACAAACCTTCAGATATGAATAATCTAAATTCTATTTGTTACAGAAAAAACAGTACTGATGTAGTTAACCTAACTGTTCATCTAGATACATGAACTCTTTATCCTTAATGTAGTGGAACTAGAAGTTCTTCCATAGGTAATCCTGTGTATACCACCTGATAAATCCATTTTAAATAACTCAAAAGTATACTTAATCCTAGAAAAAACAAAACTTGATCATCAATGTTTATATTAGGAAACCATTTAATAGAAGTGTCAATATGAACCACAGATAACTGTGTTCAGCTATTGTGAATCAGTAATTCTTTTTCCTAATTACTTGTGTTTATTACTGTCTTAATAAGTAAGAGAACAAAAATTGTTTGGCAGTATTAAATCAATATACTGACATCAAGTCTATGTAGTATTTAGAGTTTATGAATCTCCTTAATAATGCCTTTTTTAAAAGTAATTTTTGCACAGATTTGTTGTTTCCAACTTTCATAATTTTCTATTTTATCCAGGCTTCCTGATGGACTTATGCGTCGTGGTGATATAAATATGCTAATGTTAGGTGATCCTGGGACAGCTAAGTCTCAACTTTTAAAATTTGTAGAGAGATGTTCACCCGTTGGCATATATACCTCAGGTAAAGGTAGTTCGGCTGCTGGTTTGACGGCTTCTGTTACTCGAGATCCAAACACTGTAAGCTAGATTTTGTTGAGTAACCTCATGGCTTTCCTTATAAACTAATTTTGTACACGATAAAATTGTACATATTTCTTATGATAATATTATCAAAACACCACAACTTCTAGTTAGCTAGCTTTCAACTAAAAATTTACCAGTCAACTTTTTTTCGCGAGCGAAATAATTTTATTTCATTAACTGTGAATTGTAAAAATCAACAGTAAAATACAAACAGGTTATTACGTGCTGTCTTCAAGTTGTTCAGTTTATTTTACTCAAGTTGATAAAGCCAAATTACTTTCAAAGGAAAGCTGCTTATTTTAAGGAAACTATCGAAAACAGAGCCAATAAATTTCTGCAAACTTGTGTAAATTTTTGTAAATCCGACACACATTTGATTCAAATCTTTATATATTCATGACTGTAGACTGGTACCTATAAGTACAGATATTTATTTCACTTGGCATATTTACCTTGACTACTACCTACTCATCATAGAGCGTATCACTTCAAGTTGTTCTTTAATAGTCGGTTTTTATCGATTAAAAGAATTATAATTAAATACATGTACATAAGGTCTATATTTATTCACTGCTGATCTACATTCAGATGTCTGAATTAAAATAGTCAGCGATTGTCTATTCTATAATTTACGTCAAATATTAATCTTAGCTAAACAACCATTGGGAACTAAGAGGCATTAGACAGTTGTTTCGTCCTGTCAGGTGGCTCTTCAACAATTGGTTTCTGTGATCCCATCGAATTTCGAAGCCAGGACCTGCAGTTTTAGGGGCAAGTGTTTAATCTCTTTGGACCGCTGAATCCACATCCAATGATTTATATCTCTAACTTCTATTCTTGATATCCATTCTATTTTCAGCGTAATTTCATAATGGAAGGTGGTGCTATGGTACTTGCTGATGGGGGTGTTGTTTGTATTGATGAGTTTGACAAAATGCGTGAAGATGATCGTGTTGCAATTCATGAAGCCATGGAACAACAAACTATTTCAATAGCTAAAGTAAGTTATGTTATTAACATTAGCCTATTCAACTGAAATCGAGTTTGAATCAAATTTTTTCGAATCGCTTGACATCTCAAAACGTTGTTGCCAAGTTCTTATTTATAAGTGATTGTTTCCTATTTCAAATTAAATTGGTTTTAGGAAGATTTTTAAGCTGACTCAAACTGTACTTTTTAAGTATAAATAATGTTGTTATTTTTTTTACCTAGTCTTACTTTTTTGACGTTTATTATGATCCTTCTCTGTTGATAGCACATATCAGGTTACGAATGGTCAAAAACGTCAGGTCTTCTTTAATTCGATTAGCTGTATAATGAGTGGTTATTCGA